TTAAGTGAGAGAATGTGTAGAGATCATTTTGTAAATTACATAGTGTGGTTCCAATATAAAGTTAATTTCCAGCTTATTATTCACAAAAAGGGAACTGTCCTTGTGTTTGTTCTTTATCAGTTGAGAGTGAGTGTTTCAGTTTTCTGATTGCTTTCATGTCTCTTAGTTTTTTAAGGAACCTCCATACCGTATACTCCATAGTGGCTGTATCAACTTACATTCCCACCAGCGGTTCAAGAGGGTTCCCCTTTCTCCACAACCTCTTCAGCATTTATTGTTCATAGACTTTTAAATGATGACTGTCGTCATGTCTTTTATTTTTAATTCATAGAATTCATTGAGTGTTTTCTCTGCATGCTTGCATGCTAAGTCGCTTCAGTCTTGTCTGACTCTTTGTGACCCCGTGGACAGTAGTCCGCCAGCCTCCTCTGCCCATGGGATTCTCTAGGCAGGAATACTGGAGCGGGTTGCCATGCCCTCCTCCCAGGGATCTAACCCGTGTCTCTTGAGTCTCAAGCATTGGCAGATGGGTTCTTAACCACTAGCACTACATGTGGAATGAGAAATTTAGTCTTTTGTCAAAGATGTAAGGCAAATAGAGAAAGTCTGGAAGTTTAAAAGAGGATTGGAAACTCATAAATCATTCTGTACTTACTTACTTGCGAGTCTGAGATGAGTGCTGGTCCTAAATAAGGTCCAGGTGGAGAGGGGACCAGGTTTCTGGAGATTATACCTCCTGATTCTAGTTGCCCCCTTGTTCCTTTGAGAAGGAAGTCCTCAGGGCTCACTAGTGGTTGCTGAAGTCGGAGGCCCATTTAAATCACCATTTTAAATCTGGAACTTGGAATCTGGTTCTGCTTTGCGGAAGGTTTGCATTATCTTCCAAAACTTCCTGGTTGAGATATATAAATATATATTTATATTTTATGTATGTTTATATATGTACATATGCACATGTGTTTGTGTATATTTTTTCCCCCATGGCATTCAGCATTTAACAATTTGTGATTTGCTTTTTTTTGAAACCATGCAATGCTTTTATGGGGTTTTTTTACTTCTAATAAGAATGTTTGGTTACAGAGATTTGGAGTTAGATAGATGTAATCCTCTACGCCTTTTATTAGATGCTAAATATTGAGGTAGAGTTTCATAGAGTACTCAAATTGATAAGGAACATGAAACAACATTGCATGTAATAAACTGTTTAATAATTCCCTGTCTCTAAATATCAGTTTGTGGTTTCCTGTTACTTTGACTGGAAAAGTAAGGCTTATTACCGTAGTGAATGAGCTCGCTTCCGCGCCTTTGTCTCTTACACCGAGACCCTTTTACAACAGAAAGAGAAGGGATGGGAGATTTTCTCTGTCGTCTCCATTCTTAAAAGTAATAGCTTTGTTGTAACATAAGAATATGCTAACGCACAACCTGAACATCACTGAAAATCTGATAGCCTGAGGTTTTTAAGGTTATTTTTGTGAATCTGTCCATTCTCCTCAGTATCAATAACCTCAGATATGCAGATGACACCACCCTTAGGGCTGGAAACAAAGAAGAACTAAAGAGCCTGTTGATGGAGGTGAGAGAGGAGAGTGAAAAAGGTGGCTTAAGACTCAACATTCAAAAAACTAAGATCACGGCATCCAGTCCCATCACTTCATGGTAAATACATAGAGAAACAATGAAAACAGTGAGAAACTTTGTTGTCATCGGCTCCAAAATCACTATAGATAGTGACTGCAGCCATGAAATTAAAAGACGCTTTGCTCCTTGAAAGAAAAGCTATTACTAACCTTGACTGCTAATATGCTAGCTGACACCATATTAAAAAGCAGAGTCATTACTTTGCCAACAAAGGTCCGTCTAGGCAAAGCTATGGTTTTTCCAGTAGTCATGTATGGATGTGAGAGTCGGACTATGAAGAAAGCTGAGGGCTGAAGAATTGATGCTTTTGAACTGTGGTGTTGGAGAAAACTCTTGAGAGTCCCTTGGACTACAAGGAGGTCCAACCAGTCCATCCTAAAGGAGATGAGTCCTGGGTGTTCACTGGAAGGACTGATGCTGAAGCTGAAACTCCAGTACTTTGTCCACCTCATGCGAAGAGCTGACTCATTTGAAAAGACCCTGATGCTGGGAAAGATTGAAGGCGGGAGGAGAAGGGAATGAGAGAGTTTGAGATGGTTGGATGGCATCACTGTGACACAATGGACATGAGTTTGAGTAAACTCCGGGAGTTGGTGATGGGCAGGGAGGCCTGGTGTGCTGCAGCCCATGGGGTCGCAAAGAGTCGGACACAACAGCAACTGAACTGAACTGTGGTGTTGGAGAAGACTCTTAGGAGTCCCTTGGAGAACAACGGGATCAAACCAGTCAATCCTAAAGGATATCAGTCCTGAATGTTCATTGGAAGGACTGATGGCTGAAGATGAAACTCCAGTACTTTGGCCACCTGATGCAAAGAGCCAACTCATTAGAAAAACCCTGATGCTGGGAAAGATTGAAGGCAGGAGCAGAAGGGGTTGACAGAGGATGAGATGTTGGATGGCATCACCAACTCAATGGACATGAGTTTGAGCGAGTTCTGGGATATGGTGAAGGACAGGGAAGCCTGACATGTAGCGGTCCATAGGGTTGCAAAGAGTCGAATGCAACTGAACAACATTCTCCTCCATTTGGGCAGTGGATTTTTAGAATTCAGAGTTCCGTGTCTTAGTTTGCATTAAGCTTTGAGGTACAGGTTATACATATGAAGGATCAGATAGTAAAGAATCTGCCTGCCATGCAGAAGACCCAGGTTCAATCCCTGGATTGGGAAGATCTCCTGGAGAAGGGAGTGGCAACCTACTCCAGTTTTCTTGCCTGGAGAATCCTATGGATAGAGGAGCCCCGGGGGCTACAGTCCCTGGGGTCACAAAGAGTCAGACATGACTGAGCAACTGACGCTTTCACATTTTATGCATATGAAAGCCGGTGATGACACATCACTAGTATTTTGTACCTTAAAAAGTCAATATTAATGAAGTCACCAAATGAAATTTGGTGATCACTTACACGTGTAGTTCATGTTTGAGTTTGTGAAGTCTTAGTTGTTCTGTCGTTTTGTTTTAATCAGAATATCTAAATTTCAATGGTTATTTTTCACTTTTTTTTTTTAGGATTATCGAAACATAGCTGATTTTCTTATTAAAATCAGGGGTTAAAACAAGTACAGTTTTAATAGCATCATCAAGTATAGGGTTTCCCTGATAGTTCAGTTGGTAAAGAATCCACTTGGAACACAGGAGACCCCGGTTCTATTCCTGGGTTGGGAAGATGCTCTGGAGAAGGGATAGGCTACCCACTCCAGTACTCTTAGGCTCCTTTGTGTCTCAGCCGGTAAAGAATCTGCCTGCAATGCGGGACACCTGGGTTCTATCCCTGAGTTGGGAAGATCCTCTGGAGAAGGGAAAGGCTACCCACCCACTATTCTGGCCTGGAGAATTCCTTATAGTCCATGGGGTTGCATAGAGTCAGACACAACTGAGGGACTTTCACAACAATAGGAAGAAATAAAGTTAGTATGGTGAGGAAAATTACAAGAAACTTGTATATGGTTCAGAAAACTACTTCCTATTTTTGTTATAATGGCAAATTTGAATTTTAGTATTCCTTAATATAATTTAGAATGATCCAGAGCAGTTGCTTCATTCCTATCAGTTTAATCAATTGTTTTATATGCTTTATATCTTAAAATCTAATGTTGTAGTATGTAGCCTCATGTATTCTTTAGTTAATATTAACATGATTTTTGTTCTAACAGCAGGTGCCAATCAGAAGTGCTCTAGGGACTTCCCTGGTGGTCCCTGGTTAAGCCCCTTCGAGTCTGATGCAGGAGGCGTGGTTTTGATCCCTGGTCAGGGAACTACGATCCCACATCCTCATGGCATAGCTGCCTGCCCCAAAATGCTCTGATACCCAAATAGAATTTGCAGGAGTGAACTGGAGACAGGAGAGGCTCTTATTAGAAAACACATGGCCCTCATCAGACTGTTAACTTAAGAGTTTTGACAGTTTTGGTGAAACTCAATTGGAAGATTGAGTTGTGTGAGGAATCCTGGAGAGTTAATAATTCAATTAAGTTAGCCATACCAATTTTGTAGCTAGTGAGCAAGAATGCTTGAATTATCCACCACTCTGATGATCTACCTGAAATGTCTTTCCCCAAGATATCTTTTTATGATATTTTAGTTAAGAACTGATTAAATAAATCGACTGTTTTTTAATGTTTTAAGTAAATCTTACTTTGTCCACATAATTGCTTTAAAGAATAAATGTAATTGCCTTAAAACAATGGGAATAAAGAGGTAGACAAGTGTGATTTAGAATCAAATCACAGGCCTACTTAAATTATACCCTCTCCTAAATGGATCTCTCAGCTGCACATTAATGCCTAAAAGAGTAACTAGTAACTATGGGAAGGCATAGTTAGAATTTCAGTTAAAACTGGAGTTTCAAAGAGGTGGTCAGGTACCATTTGTTGTTGAGTTACTAAGTTCTGTCCAACTCTTTTGGGACCCTGTGGACTGTAGCTCGCCAGGTTCCTCTGTACATGGGATTTCCCAGGCAAGAATGCTGGGGTGAGCTGCCATCTCCTTCTCCAGAGGACCTTCTCAACCCAGGAAATGAATCTGCGTCTCCTGTGTTGGCGGGTGGATTCTTTACCATTGAGCCCCCTGGGACACTCAGTCAAGTACAATACAAATTGCTTATTACCCTATCATGTATGTATGTTGTTACCTGATTAGTTTTATGATGATTTTAAAGAAAGAGTTAACTTTGCATTTGATCTGCCTTTCCTACTCCACCCCTCACATCTTTTAAAGATATTTAATTTGAGTTGATAGTGTATCTTTTCCCTCCTTTACGCTTGGAGGTAAATGTACTTAAACATCTATGCATGTAAGTAGTAATGCAAAAGCCCTTTCAAAGTCTTACCCTGTTGGTTGATTTTGTTGCGTTGGCAGAGTGAAGACAGTCCAAGCCCCAAGAGACAGCGCCTCTCTCACTCAGTCTTCGATTACACATCAGCATCACCAGCTCCCTCTCCACCAATGCGACCATGGGAGATGACATCAAATAGGCAGCCCCCTTCAGTTCGACCAAGCCAACATCATTTCTCAGGGGAACGATGCAACACACCTGCACGCAACAGAAGAAGGTTAGTTGGTTATATTACTTATTAAATCTTTGGTCACTGATAGAGTATTTTTCAACATCAGAAAGCATTTTTTTCTGTAGGCATTTTATAAATATATCAACACCTTTATCTCTGTAGACTCACACACAAACAACATTACAAGTTGTTTAGACTATCACAGTACATCATGAGAATTCATTTAGCTTGGGATTGACAGATGTAGAAATTGTATAATAAGAGGCTCAAGTGATTTACTTAAAATCAATACATACCATTATATATGAATTCAACTACCTCAAGGTTTAAGACTTTTTGTGGGCTAGCCTTCAATCCATATTACCGAAAAATGCATTTTATAATTTAAACGGTACTTCAAAATCCTTGTAGCTGATGACTGCAGCCGTGAAATTAAAAGATGCTTGCTCCTTGCAAGAAAAGCTATGACAAATCTAGACAGTGTATTAAAAAGCAGAGACATTATTTTGCCAACAAGTCTGTCTAGTCAAGGCTATGGTTTTTCCAGTAGTCATGTATGGATGTGAGAGTTGGACCATAAAGAAGGCTGAGCACTGAAGAATTGATGCTTTTGAACTGTGGTGTTGGAGAAGACTCTTGAGAGTCACTTGGACTGCAAGGAGATCCAACCAGTCAATCCTAAAGGAAAAGAGTGCTGAATATTCATTGGAAGGACAGATGCTGAAGCTGAAGCTCTAATCTTTGACCACCTGATGCAAAGAACCGACACTTTGGAAAAGACACTGATGCTGGGAACGATTGAAGGCAGGAGGAGAAGGGGACAACAGAGGATGAGATGGTTGGATGGCATCACCGACTCAATGGACATGAGTTTGAGCGAGTTCCAGGAGATGTTGAAGGATAGGGAAGCCTGGTGCGCTGCAGTTCATGGGGTCACAAAAAGTCAGACACGACTTGAGCAACTGAACAACATCAGTGGAAGTCTTAGGAATGAGCAGTCTCTTCTTCACTTCATTATTATCCATCCCATTCTTACAAATGAATAACCTCTCTCCACAAATATTCCTTCTGTATTCTCTAAGGCAGCTGTGGCTTAATTAAGTTTCCTTTCAAATTTTGAGGACCCTGTGATATGAGGAGTGACTGAAGTTTAGTTCAACTTTCAGTCCTCTCTTCTCTGTGGGACTTGGCTCTTACTTTTTTTCTCCAGGGAATATGTTTCCTGAGCTGCTTCCTGTTTAGTAGTGGCCTGAGGTCATACCTTTCCTCTTCCAAGGATATAGAGCATCCTTGAAGTGAGATAACTGTTTATGTTTCCAGAATGTTGATAATCTAAGAAGTACGGATGATCTCGAAGTAGTAAGGTGTTACAGACTGAATATGTTTCCTGAATATCCATAGGCTGATGCCTTAACCCACAGTGTGGATGAACTTGGCGATGGGGCCTCTAAGGAAGTAATTAAGGCTAAATGAAACCATCAGGACAGGTCCCTGATCCAAGAGAATTAGTGTCCTTACAAGACTCCAGGGAGAGAGCTTTCACCAGAAATCAAGCATGCTGGCACCTTGATCTTGGACATTTAGTCTCTAGAACTTGAGAAAATAAATTTCTGTTATTTAAGCCAGTATATGATATGTTGTTAGGGCAGCCTTAGGGAACTTAATTTTGGCTCAGACGGTAAAGAATCTGCCTGTAATGTAGGAGACCTGGGTTTGATCCCTGAATTGTGAAGATCCCCTAGAGCAGGGAATAGCTACCCATTTCAATATTCTTGCCTGGAGAATTCCATGGACAGAGGAGTCTGATGGGCTATAGTCAGTGGGGTTCAACCAGTCGGACACAACTGAGTGACTAACACATAGGTAACTTAATACTGAAGGGATCTTAAAACCCATCATTTGTTCCAAATCAGACAAGATAAACCTGTTCCTGAGGTATATTCTGTTGAGACCAGTAAACTTTCACATTATCTGATGCATTATTACCCAATTATATGGGAATGTTTAAGTAAAATAATGTTATGCCAACCAGGTAAAATATTTCATAGCTGTTAAATATAATAACTTGAGGAAATAACACCTGAGCACCTGCTGTAATATTTTCTGTTGTTTTATGGTGAAATGTACCATACATTCAGGAGAACTTGTAAAACAAGTGTACATTTAAAAAGGGTAACACACAAGTGTGCCCTACACTTAGGTTAAAATAGAACATCAGAATCCCTCCTTCCTGGAAGATAAACCCTTTCCTGTGATTTGTCGTAACTCCCTTGGTACATCTTTTTAATACCTGTAAATACATTCTAAAAACAAATTTTGTGTTCTGTTTAATTCATATAAGTGTATTGTTTACTAAACAGTTTTTTTTTTTCATTTATCTTTATTAGTTGGAAGCTAATTACTTTACAGTATTGTAGTGGTTTTTGTCATACGTTGACATGAATCAGCCATGGATTTACATGTATTCCCCATCCCGATCCCCCCTCCCACCTCCCTTTCTACCCAGTCCCTCTCGGTCTTTTTTAATGTGGGTAGCAGTAGTTCATTTATTGTGATATAATCTTCCATTGAATTAATGTACCATAATTTATGTACCCACCTACTGTTGGGTAATAGTTATGCCCAGTTTGGGTAATAAAAAGAGTTCTGTTAGGACCCTGTGTGTACACAACTCCTAGTGTGCATGTGTAAGCATTTCATTAAGATAAAAGCCTAGGATTACAATTGTAGGTCATCAAATGTGTTTTGGACCAGAAAGGGCATGTCAGTCTCTGTTGCTGGATGGCAGTAACTAGTTTTCAGGTTGAAAAGAAGCATCAATCTCCATATTCATCGAATACAAAGGAGAAATAGGGAGCACTTACCTAGAAAACAAGCTACAGATTCGTTATGCCCAGCATTGTGTGTTGTTTGTTACTTCCTTCTCACTTGAGTACTATACTTTTGCTGCTGCTAAGTGGCTTCAGTCGTGTCCGACTCTGTGACTGCATAGATGGCAGCCCACCAGGCTCCTCCTTCCCTGGGATTCTCCAGGCAGGAATACTGGAGTGGGTTGCCATTTCCTTCTCTGATGCATGCATGCATCGTAAGTCGCTTCAGTCGTGTCCAACGCTGTGCAACCCTTTGGACAGCAGCCCACCAGGCTCCTCCATCCACAGGATTCTCCAGGCAGGAATACTGGAGTGGGTTGTCATTTCCTTCTCCTTAGTACTTACAGGCTAGCTGTAAGTTTAACCGCCAGCTTTTCTGCCAGAAGTAGGGTTTATAGGCAGATGCAGTATTCAGCAGCAGTCTGATACAACTTCAGATACAAGGATGAGCAACACTGGGAAGTTACCAGACATTTGAAGAAGCCAACAAAGTGAAAGAAAGTCTCTGAGACGCAGAGAGAGAGCTTGAAGTAACAGTTAGTAAGATAACTAAGACAGTTAAGAAACAAGAATAATTTTCAATTAAGTGTAACATGAGAGAAGTACAAGCGATTGTATCCCTACAAATCAACTGGAAATCTTAGTTGGTAGATTAATGAACAGGCAGAAAAAGCATCTTGGTCCCTGGAAGATCAAGTGAAAGAATTTTCCCAGAATGTAATGTAAAAAGGGAAAAATGGAAAATGTGGGAAAGAAATTTAAATATTGACAGAGTCATCAGTTATAAATACATCTAATCATATTTCCAGATGGAAACAATAGAAGGGAACAGTTTTTATAGAAATAGTATAAAAATCATTTTCAGGAATTAAAAAACAGGTGTTGCACAAGATCTTGGTGAAATTCAAGAATGTGCATAAACATTCAGAGAGAAAGTTGAGCAATAAGAGATCTTTCCTGAATCATACACCTTGATCAAGAGGGATTTATCCCAGGGTTGCAAGGATTTTTGTTCAATATTTGCAATTTAGTCTGTGCTAACACCACTTTAGCAAATTGAAGAATAAAAACCATATAATCACCTCAGTAGATGTAGAGACAGCTTTTGATAAAATTTGACCCCATTTATGATTTTAAAACTTTTCAGAACGTAGGCATAGAGGGAACATCCCTCAACATAATAAAGGTCATATGTGACAAAGCCACAGCTAATGTCACACTCAACAGTGAAAAGCTGAAAGCCTTCCCTCCAAGATCAGGCACTAGACAAAGATGTCCACTCTTGCCACTTTTATTTAGTATGGTTTTAGACATCCTACCCAAAGCAGTTAGATGGAAAAAAGAAATAGAAAGGATCTAAATTGGAAAGGAAGAAATAAAACCATCACTGTTTACAGGTGATATAATACTATACATAGAAAATCCTAAAGATGCCACCAGAAAACTACTAGAGCTCATCAATGAATTCAGTGAACTTGCAGGATACAGAATTAATATACTGAAATCTGTTGCATTTCTACCCATGAGCAACAAACTATCAGAAAGAAAGACACACCATGTTCTTGGATTGGAAGAATTAATATTGTTAAAAGGACCATACTGTACAAGGCAGTCTACAGATTCAGTGCAATCTCTATCAAAATACCAATGACATTTTTCATGGAACTAGAACAAATAAGTTTAAAATTTCTGTGGAAACACAAAATACCCAAATAGCAAAACAGTTTTGAGAAGAAACAACAGAGCTGGAAGAATCAATCGCTCCCTAACTCTCAGACTATATTGTGAAGCTACAAGCATCAGAAAAGCATGGTACTGGCATAAAAAGAGAAACATCGATAACTGGGACAGGACAGAAAACCCAGAAATACACCCACGTACTACGGTCAGTTTATGACAGGAGACAACATACAGTGGAGAAAAAAGTCTCTTCAGTGATGCTGGAAAAATTGGACGGGTACATGGGAAAAAACAGAATATTCCCTAATACCATGTAAAGAAATAAACTCAGTATGGATTAAAGACAAATGTAAGACCAGTTAACTGTAAAACTTCTGGAGGAAAACATGGGCTAACTCTTTGACATAAATTGCAACACTACTTTTTTGGACGTGGCTCCTAAAGCAAAGAAAATAAAAGCAAAAATAAGCAATTGAGACTTAATTGACCTTAAAAGCTTTTGCACAGCAGAGGAAATCATCAACAAAATGAAAAGACAACATACTGAATGGGAAAAGGTATATGCAAATAATATAACTGGTAAAGAGTTAACTGTCATATGTATATAAACATCTCATAACAGAAAAACAATTTGATTTTAAAAATAGGCAGAAGACCTGAATAGACATTTTTCCAGAGAGGAAATGTGGATGGCCAACAGACGCCTGGAAAGATACTCAGCATCACTAATCATGAAGTTAATGCAAATTAAAACCACAATGAGGTATCACCTCACCCCTGTTAGAACAGCTATTATCAAAAAGAACACGAAAAGCAAATGTGAGAGAGGCTGTGGGAAAAAGAGAGCCCTTGCACACGGTTGCTGGGATGTAAGTTCGTGCGCCCAGTGTGGAGAATAGTGTAGAGGTTTCTCAGCAAAACTGGAAGTAGAACTACCGTATTATCCAGCAGTTCCACTCCTGGGTACACATTTTTAACAAAGAAAAAAACTAATTCAGAAAGATACACACTCCGATGTTCTTAGTAGCACTGTTTTCATTTGCTGAGGTATGGAAACAGCCTAAGTGTCTAACAATAGATGAATGGGTAAAGAATATGTAGTATAATACTGCTCAGCCATAAAAAGACTGAAGTTCTGCCGTTTGCAGCAGAACGGATGGACTTGGCATTATGCTAAGTGAAATAAGTCAAGAGAAAGACAAACACTGTATGGTATCACTTATATGTGAAATCTAAAAGGCACAGCAAACTAGTGAATATAGCAAAAAAACAAGACTCATAGGGAGAGGGAAAAAAGGTGAGGACCAATACAGGAATAGGGGATTAAGAGGTACAAACCAGTAAGTATAAAATAAGCTACAGGAATATATTGTACAACCCGGGGAGCATAGCCAATATTTTATAATGATTATAAAGGGAATGCAGCTTTTTAAAATTTTGAGTCACTATGTTGTATATTTCTAACTTACATAATATTGTATGGCAACTATACTTCTAATTAAAACAGAAAACCTTCTTGAAAGAATTATTAAAAACTGTATTCTACCTACAAAGTAGAAGAATAAATGCAGAAAGGAGGATTTAATATGATTTGGTTAGGAAAGGAAAAAAGACAATTGCTAAGTCTGAATAAAAGTCTCTTTAAAAAAAGACAAAATTTTTTTTAAAAAATCTGAACATAAAATGAGGACGGAGCAGAGAGAAGTAAAAATGTGCAATCCAGATTTTTTTTTTTAATGTAAGTATATGTTTAAAAATCCAAGTGTAGTCACTGGAAGAATAAAACTGGTATATATAGCTTCCACACAATGAAACAGATAAACAGCAAGTAGTCTAGAAAACTCAGTCCAACAAAGGTACCTAAGCGAACCAGGAGGGAATAGCCTTGTGCTTTATATGTCTAAAACAAAGTGATAAAGTAGTATCTATCACTGATATAAAAGTCAGTTGAGAAATATTTGTCCATCTTTTATCACTGTTTCTTCTAGATTTTCAAATAATTATGCTTTCTAAATGTTCTACCACAAAGTCATATAATAACATTTAATAAGAGGAAATTCAGGAAAGATAGGGATCAGAATTGTCAAGGAATATGCATTAGATAGGGATCAAAATTGTCGAGGAATATGCATTTCAGCATGAGGACTTGGGCCTTAATTTGTGTGAGTTTTGAGTTTCTGAGATTATGTTTGAGTTGGGAAGTAAGAGCAAGAAGCAGCAATGGATTCAAATAGTAATAAAAGGGGCCCTTAAAGTTTGTGAACAGGATGAGTGTTTTTTGGGAGATGATCTGGTCGTGATCTGGGCGTGTATATTTTGTATTTTGATTTTAAAGTGCACATTTTTTCACATCACAATATATCTATATTGATGGTATAAAGTGAAGTGTTAGTCGCTCAGTCGTGTCCGACTCTTTTCAACCCCATGGACGGTGGCCCGCCAGACTCCTCTGTCTGGAATTCTCCAGGCGAGAATACTGGAGTGGATTGCCATTCCCTTCTCCAGCGGATCTTCCTGACTCAAGGATTGGACCCAAGTCTCCCACATTGCAGGCAAATTCTTTACCATCTGAGCCACCAGGGAAGCCTGTAGCATAGTCTGATTGGCAGCTTTCTCCCTCTTTTTAGTGATACATTAAATGGTCCTTTAAAATAGTTGTACAGATACAGATAAGTGCATATACATAGATAAATCTTGTTCTTTTCTCTTAGGCTCAAAACAGTGAAGCAGTCAGCACACTTAGCTTTCAGATACCATTCTACAGTTAAAGGAACCAGGACTCTTTGGAGTCCTCTTTGGAGAACTGGTTAATTCCAGAGTCTGTGTAGGAAAATACTAGATGAGCCTAGTGCACGTTGTGGTCCCTATATTAAGGAATTACTCAAAAAGATAAAAGACAATAGTAGAAGATCACAGGAGCCAAAAAGCTCCCATTGAACAGAGTTGAAATAATTTGAACAACAAAATAAAATGACTGTGGTGTATTATCACCTAAAGAATAGAATAAATATCCATTAGCCCCTACTCATAAATAACTAAACAAGTGAGAGAGGAGTAACTCTTCTTTACAGAATTGCAGTTGATACATATGGAAGATATTAAGAGAGTAGAAAATCACCATTAGAATATCATAATAGAGTGATCGCTGAAGATCCATTCATGCAATCTCAAGTTATTGGCAGACTTTCAGCAAAAGCAGAATATTTGCATGGTTCAGAGTATCTCCCCAAGAAAATAAAATCTCTCACTGCTTCCATTGACCCCTTCTCTTTGTCTGCCGTGAAGTGATGGGACTGGATGCCATGCTCTTAGTTTTTTTATTGTTGAACTTCAAGCCAGCCATTTCACTCTTCCTCTTTTACCTTCAAGAGGCTCTTTAGTTCCTCTTCACTTTCTGCTATTAGAGTGGTATCATCTGTTGTTGATCTTTCTCCTGGCAACCCACCCCAATATTCTTTCCTGGAGAACCCCATGGACAGTAAGAAAATAGGGTCTTGGCAGAAACCTGTTTAGCCAAGTGATTGGTAATACATACATTTGCATGAGTGATGCAAATCAGTGTCATGTGGCCCTTTATACAGTGCACTGAAAAGGGCCTATCAACTCTGTCATATCCTTTCCAGTAATATGTAATGTCATGCAAGTCATGAGAAAACATCAGACAAACCTGGGTTAAGGCTCATTCTACAGAGTAAGCGTGTCTTCAGAGGTATCAAGGTCATGGAAGATGGAGCTGTCATGGATTGGAGAAGACAAAGGAAGCTTGACCACTATGCAATAATGGGACCTTGTATTGGATTCTGAAACAGTGAGGGAACATTGGTAGAAAAACTGGGTGAAATCGGGAATACATTGTGTTAATTAATAGTATGATACCAAGGTTCATTTCTTAATTTTGATAATTCTTTGTATTCTAATGGAAGATACTAACATGAGGGAAAGCTGGGTAAGGGTTATGCAAAGACTATACGAAAAGTATCTCAAAATAAAACATAAAAATAAGTTCTAAGATAGATGGCACATGAAAATCAATGAAATATAGTTTGTCGGTTTTGAAGCAGAAATGCAAAACAGTTATGCTGAACATAAAGATAGAGGAAGCAATGAAAGGAGCAGGAGCCTTGCGGATTAGTATTAAGAGCACCGTGGAGGAATTAATATCACAAAAGAATGTCCCTTTTTCTTTTTAAGATTGGGCAATTGAGAGAAAGAAGAAACAGATTTAGAGGTGCAGAATGCAACAATGAAGGGAAAGGTGACCTGTCCTCAGTGAAGACTGCTGAGGTGGCTGTGTGCAGCTGTGTCTGGAAGGGGGCTGTTTCGCCTCTTGTGCCTGAAGTGGAGTACATTTTTATTGAGGCCTGCTGTTGTTTCGAATTATTACCCATGCTGAGCCCTTGTAAAAAGCAGTGGAACTGAATTGTGGAATTAAGGGACATGGAAAATAGAAGTCTACTTAGGATAACAACTGTTATTTGTGTTTAACTATGTAGATGACACGTGCATAGAGAGTAAAAGTGGTTTTTTTCAGTAGCCAAATTGGACCTTAAAATTCTGTATATCGCTAAGAGTATTTATGCTGACACCATCTCACAGTCATTTTCATTCTCAGTATTTATTGTTACTCAGTTATTTGCAATTGTAAATAGATTAAATGCTTTTTAGTTATTACTCATTTTTTTAAATTGTCATCTTGGGCGTGTGGGAACTATGTCTTTTCTATATGCCTTAGCCAGACAGACAAATATAAAATACTCATTAGGCATAATAGGATTACTGCCAAGATATATGCAGATTAAAATTTGTTGTAGAATGTCTATAAAATAAAAGGGACAGAATAGTAAGTTAAATCATAAGAACTTACTGATATTTGTCTGTAAAAAGGGCAATTTTATACAATTAAACCCATACCCCCAAAATGACAGTGATTGGCTATTGATGTCTAAATACTCTGAGCTGAATATCGATTTTGTTTTCTTCCGTTATTTTTTTAAAAAGCATGCATTCTATTTTGTGTTTAGAGCTGATGATGAACCACAACAGTTCTTTAATACTCAAGCCTATGTTAGCTTATACTGCTAATGGATTACAAAGAGAGACAGTACCGACCCTGATGGAACACGGCAGTAAACATTATAACAACCTCTTTGACATTTTTACTGTATTACAGTCCTCCTGTCAGGCGTCAGAGAGGAAGACGGGATCGTCAGTCTCGACATAATTCCATTAGTCAAGATGAAAATTATCACCATCTCCCTTATGCACAGCAGCAAGCAATAGAAGAGCCTCGAGCCTTCCGCCCTCCGAATGTATCTCCCCGTCTATTACACCCTGCTGCTCATCCGCCCCAGCAGAACGCAGTGATGGTTGACATACATGATCAGGTATAGTAACAGGGTATCCAGGAAATACAGATGCCCAAAGTTGGTAGCAGCTTATCTAGGTTTATTGTTTTTTGTTGTAGATTACTTTTACCTAAAAGAAAACAGTTTTACCTAAAATGAATCCATTTTAGATAAATTCATCATTCTTCATTGAAAATTAAAATTTAAATTCTACACAGCTTCCTTAAAAGAAAGTTGAACTTTAAAAAAATTAAGATCAGGGTTATAAAAGCTCAGAATGACTTCATTGTTATACTTGCTTTGAAATGACTGATAGAGGATTTATAGTGAGGTCAGTCAGTCAGCTGGTGGTGTGAGGATATACTCCTGTTTTCTGCTTCCTTCCAGTTTCTTCTAGAGTAGTTCAGTAGGCAAAACAGTTGGGTGCAGCTTTGCTTACAAGTTTTCCTAGGTCTCCACTGAGATGACAAGTACCAAGCTTTCTTTCCCTTTGTTCCTGCCAGGAACTGAGGAACTAGCTGAGAAGGAGGGTTTGCCAGACCAAAAATTGACCAAAATTGTATGATTTTTTGAGGTCAGAGATACAAATCTAGACATATTCTTACAAAGTTCCTGGATTTTAAGGGTTAGGGAAAAAAAATCTTCCAAGTTTATAGACAACAGAAATTACAGTGGAAAGAAATTCAGAGACTAGCATTCAGTTTTTCTTTTTTTTTTTTTTTTTTTTGAAATTACTGCACTGGAAGATAAAAAACAATGAAACTACCATAATAGTGACAATTGAAAGAAAATATGATCTTGCACATACCGTGTAAAAGAAACCGGTCACAGGAAGCCCCAGTTTGTATAATTTCTTTTATGTGAAATGTCTAAACTAGGAAAATCCATAGAAACAAAGAATGAAGTGATTGCTTATCATTAGTAGAATAATAGGATAAACTACGATACCTTCATACCATGGACTGTAACTATTAGAAAGAATTACTCACAATTATGCCAGGAATACCTGCACACTATTGCTGAGCAAGAAAAGCAAAATTGAATTAAGTGTTATGTTCAGTTTTGTAAAACATGACAATTAAATGTTTGTATACATAGGACTCTGAACATAGGGGAAAATATGGAGAAAGATAGACTAGGCTTTGGGGGTGGGGGTTGGTTACTAAACTGTAGGGATAGAGAAGGTAGGCAGAGGTGGAACCAAAGAAAAGGTGAAGTCTTCGGGAGAGGTGTGTTTCGTTTATCTTGTATTACTTGAGGCTACATATGTTCATTTGCGTCAGTCGTGTCCAGCTCTTTGTGACGCTATGGGCTATAGCCCACCATGCTTTTCTGTCCATGGAATTTTCCTGGCAAGAATACTGGAGTGGGTTGCCATGCCATTCTCCAAGGGATCTTGGACCCAGGGATCAAACCTGTGTTTCCAGCATTGCAGGTGGATTCTTCACTGTCTGAGCCCTCATATGTATAACCTATACCACAAAGCTTGATGCAAACTAAGACACGGAATGCTGAGCCCCCCGGGAAGCCCCTGAGTCTACATACTGAGAAATGAAACAGTTGCATATGTAAATACTGGGACAGTGCAAGACACAGAAAACCTGAACAGACCCACAGCTATGGAAGAAATTGAAGGCATAATTAAAAACCTGTTCATAGACTACATCTGAATTCTCATTTCTGTAAAGAACTGAAAGTTCCAATTTAAACTGTCCTAGATCATAGTCACAGATAGAAATTTTCCAAGTATATTATGTGACACTCCTTAATAATAAAACCTCATAGACAATACAACAAATGAAACCTTTCAACTAGTTTCCCTCTTGAGTACAGATGCAGATGCTTTAAATAATAAACGATAGCTAGTGTTATAGTAAAATAGTCTATCCTGATGGTGCAGGGTAAATTCGACATTAGGAAATCTTCAGTTTAAAGGGAAAATGTTTTATTTTGTTAATAGATGCAAAAATAAAAAATTTTGCCATCATATCCAGTAAAAGATCTTAAAATGGAAAAAGGGAGTTTTATTTTCTAGAGCTGTCAGTGAGGGTTATTGAGAGCATTCCCCTTGATTGAGAACCATTTCCCAGAGTTTGCTCAGTTTCATGTCCATTGAGTCGATGATGCCATCCAACCATCTCATCCTCTGTCACCCCCTTCTTCCTCCTGCCTTCAGTCTTTCCCAGCATCAGGGTCTTTTCCAGTGGCTCGGGTCTTCACATCAGGTGGCCAAAGTGTTGAAGTTTCAGTGGAATAAGAGTAACTGGCACCAAATGTAATTTGCAGTGAAATTCACATCAACTGTGAAATTGGTCAAAGCATTTGGGGCTGCAGGGGCCTAGGAAGCACATATATCCTCTTTGGAGGATGAAACCTTCATTCTGGTTTCAAAGAATTCCCTCAACTAAATTTTCAAGGACAGTAAGTAGTAAAGTTACCAAATACACGAGGAAAGAAAGACTATAAATGAAAACTAAAGGAACAGACCCACAGAGCGAGTTCACATAACATTTCAAGCAGCATAATTAACGGTAGAACTTAAGAGTGCTTTCTTGCTGATACCTGGTCTAAGCCAGGGTGATCACTATCACTGCATCTGTTCAGTGTCCCGGAAGCTAAGCCGGGACTGGGGGCTTCCCAGTGGCTCAGTGGTAAAGAATCCACCGGCAGTGCCGGAGACATGGGCTTGATCCCTGGGTGAGGAAGATGCCCTCAAGAAAGGGCATGGCAGCCCAGTCCAGTGCTCTTCCCGGGAGATCCCATGGACAGAGGACCCCGGCAGGCTACAGTCCATGGGGCTGTGAAAGAGACCTGACTAAACAACAACAGGCCAGGGCTGATGACAGGAAAAAGAGGGTAAGAATAAGAGAAGAGCAAATAGCATCATAAGTAATTGCAGATGAGATAATCATACAGGTAGAAGATCCCAGATTATTAAAGCAACAATACAGCAAGTCAGTTGTATTTCTTTATACTAGTCAGCATAATTAAAATAAAGAAACATATATATTTACACTAAACAACCCAGTTTTTTCAACATAGAAGCTGGGGCATTGAGGGTAAGGAGAAGAGATGAAAGTGGCAACTATAAATTTAAAGAGACATTGTTTTTGTTTGCAGTATGTAAACCATTCTTGGATACTGATTGAGAAACAGAAGAGAAAGTTAAAAGAAAATCATTTATAACATTGATGATAAAATTGAAGTTTTGAACACTGACTTCATTTTTTTTTTTTTTTTAAGGAACTTTCCATTAAGATATGTTGATATTGGCTGTGGTGGTTATTTTAAGTGTTGTCTTTTAGAAATAAGTACTGAAATATTTGTGAAGCGATAGGTTTATAGAATTCAACAAAGTATACAAAGGGAGGAGTTGATAGGAGTGGATTGGATATATGGTCTTCTGGTTTTGGAGGCTACGTGATAGATACAGGGGTTCATTATACTGTACATATGCTATGTGCATAGTATATATGTATATATGCATAGTACATTATACTATACATAGAGCATGTTTGAAATTCTCTATATTAAATATGCAAATAAGAAAGTACAACTGAAATCAGAATAACATAAAGGAAGTTAAGAGTCTTAACAAAAGATGTTCAAGTCCTTTTTGATTACAAAACTGTCTAAATAGATATTTGGCTTGAAAGATCCAAACTTGTGAAAACTGTCTGCTTTCCCAACTCACATACGTAGAATTAGTATATTCCAAGTAAATTTCCAGTAAGTTTTTGGTGTAACTTGAGAAACTGATTCCGTGATTTCTGCGGCCCTTTAAAGGACCAGGGATTATCTGGAGCAGGAAAAGCAAGCTGCTGCCGACTGTTTCCGTAGAGCTCTGTCGGAACACGGCTTTGCTGTCTGCTCATCTGTCACTTGTGGGAGCTTTGTGCAGGAACCGGGGTGGCCCACAGACTCAAAATACTTACTTTTCTGGCCCTCAGTGAAATAGCTGGCCAACTGACACTGGTCTCGGGTCTCTGAGTCTAGATGGTTCTCAAAATATGTCTTGAATTAGCTGATCAGCAGCAGCAGCAGGACCTGGACATTTATTAAAAATGCAGATTCTCAAACTATACACCAGACTTACCAGGTGTGGGACCCAACAATGTGTTTTAAGCCAATTAAGAGAACTTTTGGTGTATAATTCTGAAGTAGAACAAGTTGGGCAGAGTAGCTCTTCCAATTATTAGGACTAATCATAAAGCTGTATGAGGCATTTTTGCCAGAATAATTAACCATTTGGTATGGAAATAGACAAAAATAACCTATCAGCAATATAACAAAGCCTCCAAACTTCACAAAAGAATTTTGAATAATAAATTTAGTAAGTGGTATTATTTATGAAGAAACCTAAATTCTTGGAGGTATAGTACTGTAGCAGTGTTCATGTAGTGACAGGATAGTCTAACAAAAAGCCTTAATATAAAATTGTTCTTTGTAAAGTAACATTTAATACAGTTAATATAAATTAGGATTCCAGTGGATTTTGAAACTGAATAAAATTATTTGAGGTTATTTTCATAAGAATAAATAGATAAAAATGGCCCAAAAATAAAATGAGAAGAAAGTATGGTAATGAGAAGAACTTGTCTTACTGGATATTGACTTTTCTAGTAAGAGACTATAATTGAGACAACACAAATTTGACACAAAATAGATCCAGGTATGTTTGGGAAGTTACTGAATAGAAAGAAAGAGGTAGTTCAGTTTAGAGGAAAGGGGAATGTTGAATTACCATTAAATAAAAGATTTATCAAAAGAGAAATAATAGACTGAGAAAATATTACATGTCTGTCTAAGTAAAAAGCCAAACTGTGAGTTAATATGAATGGACAGCCTTAGAGAAAGTGGGCAGTGAACAAAGGATATAGATTATTTACATAAAAGGAAATCTAGATGATTAATAAACATATTAAAAGATGTTCAACCTCTCTAATCTGAGAAATACAAATTTAAAGTAAGCCCGGTTCATCACAGCACTGTTTATAATAGCCAGGACGTGGAAGCAACCTAGATGCCCATCAGCAGACGAATGGATAAGGAAGCTGTGGTACACATACACCATGGAACATTACTCAGCCATTAAAAAGAATTCATTTGAACCAGTTCTAATGAGATGGATGAAACTGGAGCCCATTATACAGAGTGAAGTAAGCCAGAAAGATAAACACCAATACAGTATACTAAAGCATATATATGGAATTTAGAAAGATGGTAACGATAACCCTATATGCAAGACAGAAAAAGAGACACAGATGTATAGAACAGACTTTTGGACTCTATGGGAGAAGGCGAGGGTGGGATGATCTGAGAGAACAGCATTGAAACATGTATATTATCAAGTGTGAAACAGATCTCCAGTCCAGGTTGGATGCATGAGACAAACGCTCGGGGCTGGTGCACTGCGATGACCCAGAGGGATGGGATGGGGAGGGAGGTGGAACGGGGGTTCAGGATGGGGAACACATGTAAATCTGTGGCTGATTCATGTCAATGTATGGCAAAAACCACTACAATATTGTAAAGTAATTAGCCTCCAACTAATAAAAATAAATGAAAAAAATAAATAAAATAGACAAGCTGAAAAGTAAATGAATAAATTTAAAAAATAATAAAACCCGGTAGATACTGGTTTTTCCCCCTTCCCCCAATGTAGTATTTGTATAACAAGCAAGCATGCTTGTTATGCAAATATTGTATATCTGCCTTGAGTGGAGGTGCTGAGAGTCTTTACTACTATTGGGATTGTGATTTAATCCATCCAGACTTTTGCTAAAGTTTAAAATACATTCACCCCTTTCTTTACCCAGTAATCCCTGTGAAATGAATGAAACTAATGTGTAAGGATATATGTTCAGTGATGTTTTTTATGGTTTTTATTTGTATTGGTAAAAGGTGAATACAACTTAAAGTCCTTTAGTATATGAATGATAGGATTGTGTTAAAATGATGAGTGTATTTGAAATATCTTGTTAGTGTCAAAAAGAATGAATTGGCTTTAATTTCCTTCAAGAGATATCTACAATATTAATTGGAAAAAGTAAGTTGCAGGGTAATATCTCATTTCTATTAAGAACAAAAACAAGCATGACAGTAGTTCATGCATATGTTTATGTGCTCGTGGAGAATGATACAGGAGGACATATTTTTAAACGTTGTTTGCTTCCAGATAGATAGGATGGGAATAAAACTGACCAGGGGAGAAGGGAATTATTTAACTTTTTAAAAATGATACTTAACATTTCACTAGTTGGAATTAAACAAATGGTTTTTTCCCTCCTGTTGAATGTGAGCAGGTTATTAGCAGACATGTTTCTTTTTTCCAGATTTCCTCCTTAGGAAAGTTTTCTGCTCTATAGAGCAGGCTTGAAGAGTTATTATTCTCCTGGACTTGAAGTTTTTTTGAGTCAGGCCCAGTTCAGTGGATATCATATACCGCTCCTGAAACAGCTTTTCTCTACAGTAACAAGAAGATTTTGGTTGAAACTGTTGCAGAAGTACATTGTGAACAATCTGTGCAGCTAAGAGTAGAATCAGTAAATGCCCAGATTTTAATTTTTAATAACTGATGTTTTATCCAGACTGTAAGAGCTTACCCAGACTCACCCTTACTTCTTGGCGTTGCGTCTCTCCTGACAGCTCCATCAGGGCAGCGTCCCTGTGTCTTACACGGTGACGACCGTCGCGCCCCACGGCATCCCACTCTGCACGGGCCAGCACATCCCCGCCTGCAGCGCGCAGCAGGTCCCGGGGTGCTCCGTGGTCTTCAGCGGGCAGCACCTCCCCGTCTGCAGTGTGCCTCCCCCCGTGAGTGTGCCGTCTTCTGCGGAGCGGCTCAGTACGCCATAAACCAAACCCGAGAGGCTGGGGGCTTTCGCCTTCAAGTAATAAAAAATGCAGTTTTATTGCAACAGAAATCTCAGGTGCCACCTGTACAGTAACAGTTTAGTAGAATTAGCTTTCAAACTTGGTATGTTTTTACATTAATTAAGTTACACATATTTTAACATTCTTTGAAGGTCAAATCATGTTCCTTCACATGTCTGCACTGTTTAAAATTAAACCTCAATAAAGATTGTCCTTCAGGTTTTAACATAGGATATTGAACTGATTAGTAATAAAGTCTCAGAGAATTTGGTGATCAACATTAATAGCCTCAGCACTTGCTGGGTTTTTAATAGGCACTTTGAGTTGCTTTGACTTACTTATTCCATACTATAGGAAGCCTGTGATGAAAATAGTACCCTTATTTTCTAAATGATGAAATTGAAAATGGTTTGCTTAATTATCATAGAAGCAATTAGCATGAGAAAACAGGAGTTCACACTCACTTCTTTCTGCTTCTTATAAGCTTATACTTTATCCTTTACCACTCCCTAGTGCAGCCCCCTTATTTGAAAAATAGGTAGCTGAAAACCAGAGAATTTAAATGACTTGTCTAAGGTCAATACAGTCTTCAAAGTAAAGCACTTTGCTAAATCTTAATATAATCCTAATAATCCTGTCTGAATTTGAGATTAAAACAAACACATACATATAAATACTAAACCAATTTAACATTAATTTACCCATGCATGGTTTCTCATTAATAGATTATAGAACCAATGTGCTAAATTAGCAAACTAAAATATTGAGAGATCATAAAGCATTTAGTTGTGAATTGGGCTTTTAGAAATAAAAAAATCTACAAGATTGAAAAGGACAGCTTCTTGCAAAGTAGTAATGTCTGCTATATTTTAAGCCAAGCAGGAAGAGACTCCTTCTCTGTGGCACTTTCCCTTCATTTTCGTATGTGTTACAAAAGCTTAAGTAAAAGATAGGTGTTTTGACTGATTTATAAGAACTATGTAAAATCCAGAATAATTACTAGTTACCATTTATTTTACTAATATATGCAAAAATGTGCAAGTATCTCATTGTTACTATAGGTTATTAAGACATTTTTATGATTCTGGGAGGATTATGGCAGTAACATTTCAATCTGACTGTATAGTTGTTTTTTTTTTAATTAATATATTCTGATACTCTCAACAAAAAGTAATGATTTCTCTTACAGATGCTTCAAGCATGTTCTGTTCAGCACTTACCAGTACCGTATGCTGCATTTCCACCCCTTATTTCCAGTGATCCGTTTATTTTACATCCTCCCCATCTTTCTCCTCATCATCCTCCTCATTTGCCACCTCCAAGCCAGTTTGTCCCTTTCCAAACACAGCAGTCACGATCGGTAGGTATCTTTTCTCTTATGTCTTTAACTTTTACAGAATATTTAGACCTAAAAGATTAATTTAGTAGATGTTTAAGTTGTTATCATTTAAAAATTGTAACTTTGACACTTTCCTGGTTCTTAAAAGAACTAAGAATCCCCACACATAGAAATATATATAAGCAATAATTGTACCTACAGTTACCTTGGTTTATTAAGTTTTTCTAGTTATTTTATATGAAACTTGTCTAATCAAGTTCTTTTGTATCTGCAATCCTTTGGAAATTGAATCTGGAAAAAAAAAACCCACAGTTCTAGTTTTTCCTTTCATACATTTCTAAAATGGGAAAATGAAAATATTATAAAAATGTTTATACTTGTTAGAATAATATTTATATTCATTTAGGCAAGTAAGTAATCCTTTGAACCTCAATTGTTTTTTTCCAAAGGCTGGTTTTATACTGTGTTCTGATGAACAGTAGATGAGATACTCTGTTAGCATAGTTCACTCTGTCCTGGAGCTGGAATATAGCTGAGAGGCATAATATTTCCAGGGGCTGGAGGGATCAGTGGTGGGAAACACACTGGAAGAAGGCCCCATTGTTTTCTAGACAGGCCAAGTTGAACATCTGAACCGTGATTAAAGGAGAATAAGGGAAAGAACGTATGGAAATGGTTAGAGTGGAAATGGCCTTGTGAATGGAGCTTGATGGTTTACCCTAAGAGAGCCTGACCATGCTTTACTTAGGATTTATACACCATGCTTGGTCTCAGGAGGAGGTGAGATACAAGCTTACATGGCTGCTTTCCTGAAAACTAGAAGCCAATTATGACAGAAGTTTGGCTAATCTGAAAAGTTGAAACAACTCCCACAAGAAAATCTTTTATTAGAATCAGGACAGGATTCATGCCAGGATGTTCCTTAGGAAGCTTCCAGTACCTGAGAATTCAAGGTTAAAACTAAATTTAGCCATTATACAAGCATACATAAGCTTCCAAAGTAACTGTTAGCAATTACTTGTATTTGAATAATATGTTGCTGTTCTCTTAACTGTGGGAAGAAGTTAGACTAACATTTAAGAATACATGTTCCCAAGAGATCAGATTGAAAACATCAGCCCCAAAATGTGTACACAGATGTTCATAGCAACATTATTCCTAATAGCCATAAGTGGAAACATTCCAGGTGTCCATTGACTGATGAATGGATAAACAAGGCATGGTTTATCTATCCAGTAGATTATTACTCAACTCTAAAAAGAACAAAGTACTAATATACAGACTACAAGATGGATGAACCCTGAAAACATGCTAAGTGAAAGAAGCGGATATATGACATGTCCAAAATAAGCAAATGTATAGAAATATAAAGTACATTAGCAGTTGTCTAGAACTTGGGAAGGACTGAGGGAAATTAGATAGTGGTGATGATTGTACAACTCTTGTGAATATACTAAAATCCACTGAATTGTACCCCTTAGCAGGGTGACTTCATAGTATGTGAATTTTATCTCATGCTATTTTTTAAAAAAAGATTGGGCGGAGGGGCAACATAGGCTATGTGCTTTGCAAAACACTGTGTGCTTTCTGAACGTTGTCTTGGTGTTCAGATCACACTTTGGAGGTAGGCTGTGAACATGTCAGCTCTGCAGATGACAGTATTGAGGTTCAGAGTGAGTAATTTCTGTAAGAGCCGCAGGGCTCATCATTTACAGCACCGAGTTTGTCTAATGCCAAAGCCCATAAGCTTTCTGCTGTAAAATAACCGCCTGCTGTGTCCTCTACTGTTTAGCCCTATCTCTCATTCACGGTACACACCATCTTTGATTCCGTCTGTTAAAGGTTATGTCTGCAATTGATGTAGTTCACTGTGCCATGACTTCAGAAACTTCATCTTTTATGTAACTGGCTTACTACATGACTTTTTGTCTTTCTCGATATCATTTTTAAGGGAAAGTTCAAATAGTGAAAGAAATGTATCCTTTAGTGAATAGTGGAAATGTTTAATAACATGTTTGAGAGATTTTCTTATTGAAATTCAGTTAAAGGCAGTGAGAGTTTACTGAGGGCTATATGCCCACTTGTATGAACTTAGATTGATGTGAACATCAGAAAATGCATGACCCGAAAGAATTCTTTGGGTTTTTTTATTTTGATTTTTTGATTTTTGTTATAAAATGCAGTCTATCGGTCTGAACACTTACATTAGTTTGCTTCCCCCACCCCGCCCTTCAGCCTCTGCAAAGGATAGAAAATGAAGTGGAACTCTTAGGAGAACATCTTCCTGTGGGAGGTTTTACTTACCCGCCATCTGCCCACCCCCCGACATTACCTCCATCGGCTCCTTTGCAGTTCCTGACACATGATCCTTTGCATCAGGAGGTTTCGTATGGAGTAGTAAGTTTTCATTTGTTATTAATTTATTGCTTGCTTTGGTAACTAACTTGAGTTCTGCTTCAGTATAACTCTACATGTTTTGAATTTTAAATGTATTCTTGCAGTCAGTTGGAAAATTGTATTTAGAAGCACACCTAAGAGTATTCTTGTTTTAAACTAGTTGTTGCACCTTTGTTAACATTTAAGAAATACTAAATACCCTTGAACAATAAATAACTTTCTAGGTTTTTAAAAATGAAGAGACTTTATTCAACACCTTAAAAAGTTGTGGATGTGGAATGATCTTAAATTGTCTTAACATTCTTTCCCTACAGCCTTATCCTCCATTTATGCCTCGGAGGCTCACAGGACGCAGTAGATACCGGTCCCAGCAGCCCATACCACCTCCCCCCTACCATCCCAGCTTACTACCATATGTGTTGTAAGTTCTGTCTCGTTTTTTAATGAGTTCTGCATTTTGACACCCTTGAGATACTCTTCCCTTTATGAACAATTTTATGTGTGTTAGATACTTGTTTTTATTTGATGTTAAGAGGTTGGGGTGGGGGACCATTTAAGGCTGAAAGAGAAGAGCAGGACAGGGGAGCAGTGGGGGCGGGGTGCAGCAGAAGTTAGGCAGAGAAGTGTAAGTCGTTGGCCTCTTTCACGGCAGGCATTACCTGCCGCTTGCCATGGTTTTCTAGCATGTGATGCTGCCACTTCTCTCAAGGGACGCCCCAGAGAGGAGCTATATCTGTGCCTTAGAAATACTCTGCTAGGGTTGGGTTTGTAACAGAAACACCCATGGCTTAAACATCATAGTTCAGTGATGTCTAGAATTAGGTGATTCAGACATGGTTTGTTAGCTCCATAACTCTGAGGAATGGGTCTACCATCCTCACAATTTTATGGCTTCCTCTGCATGATATAAGATGACTTCTCAGGCTCTGGCCATCACATCCACATTCTAGCTAGCAAAAATGAAACTGAATCTCTCTGCCTACTTGCTTCCTCTCAAGAATAATTCCTAGAAGTTGCATGTATGACTCTTGCCGACATTCTGTTGGTTAGAATCTAGACCCATGTCTCTTAAGTACTTCTAGAAAGGCTAGGGAATGTTGTTTTTATACCAGAGGGCCATGTGCCTATATCATACTATTTTGAAAATTGTAGGTTTATTATCTTAAAATCGAATACTATAAATCTCCTAATTTTGTTCTTAAACTAATTTTACTTAAAGTCTTTTGCATGTCCATATAAATTTTAAAATCAGCAAATCAGTTTCTACTTTAAAAAAGCTGGAATTTGGTGGGATTATGTGAAATCTATAGATGAGTTTTGGAAGAGAATTGACATCTTTATTGAATCTTCTGACCTACTTATATGGTATATTTCTCTCTTTACTACCTTTTCAAATTTATCCTAGCAGTATTTTTACAGTTTTTATTTTATAGGTCTTGCACATGTTTGGTTAAATTAATCTGTAATATTTCATGTTTTATTTTTATTCTGTTGCAAATGATATTCTTTTAATGTCAGTTTTTAATTGTTTATTGCTAGTAAAATCAGATTCTTTAAAGGGTTGTCACTGATGAACACTGATCATTCTTTATCCCTGTAGCACTGGCCTTGTTCTTCTCATCCTGTTCATTGATACAGTGCATTAATTTATCAGTGCTTGTGTTGGTTATTTTCACTGCAGATCAATGCTTCCAGTGCCACCTGCAGTGGGCCCAACTTTCAGCTTTGAATTGGATGTGGAAGATGGAGAAGTAGAAAATTACGAGGTTAGTAGCTGAACTGTGAGTTGATTTGGGGAGTTTGTATGCATAAAAATACTGTACTAAACTCATTCATCTAATTAAACACTAGGTAAATCCATTGTATATTTCAAGATACAAATATGTCAAAAATAATTTCAACATGTACCACACAGTTCTGATAACAAGATAGACTGTATTAGAATTACATACAATTCCTGTGAGAGAATGTAAATGAGAAAATGATGAATTATGATTGGATGTTCTGAAAACATTTTGCAGCTGCAGAAGTGTGAAGAGTCAGTTCCTGAGGGATGGGAAAGCTTTTTCATGCCTAAGATTAAGGCAGGGAAATGCTGAATATTCTTGAGGAAGAACATAATATCTGGCTAAAGTGAGGGGAGAAAATGGAGATTTGATTGAAAAACTCAACTGGTTGTATTTGAGTGCCCTGTGCTTGTTCTGGTACAGAATGAACATAATTTTGAATACTGTGGGAGGAAGGAACCACTAAATATTTTGGTGTTTATCAATCAGATTGCTGTCTTAAAGAGTCAGAATTAGTAGCATGAAGAAATAGATGAAGTGGTTCAGAGTTGGTGGCGGAGTAACCAGTTTTTACCAGATAGTAAATTATAAAACCATGCAAGTTCTGAACTTTGAAAACTTGAGGTAGAAAAGAAAACACTTTGAAAGACATTTTAACACTATAATCAACAGGATTTGATCGTTGAATGGTTTATGGTAGTGTCAGGATTGTGAGTGGGAGGGTTGCGAGAGAAGATGCTCTCCAAAAGGACTGCAGTAGCTTGTGAAGAGGGCTGACTCCTAGATGCCAGGACAGATAGACAATACCACTTAATTTAGATGATGTTGACATTGCTATATTATTTGAGGTTTGGAGCAGAATGGACAAAAAGGGTTGGAAGACATTTGGATTTGGAAATGTTGAATGTGAGTGACTGTGACTTTGTTTTGGTACTGTGGGCTAGCTGCTGCTTACCCCAGCCTCACTCAGTCTCTATACAATATAAGTATTGGAACAGACTTTTTGTTGTTTGTTTTTAGGTAAATGGAATCTGGGTGCAGAGAGGAAAGACACATACACCTAGTCTTAGAGCATCCCTCCCCCCTTTTTAGTGCATGTGGAAGAAATCAGGCCAAATGCTATATTCTCCTGTCGTTTTAAAACGCTGTTATGTTACTTTCTGCATGTAGTCACACAGCAGTGTCATTTGGATCCCATTCTCAGATTTCTTGAGAAATGGGCTATAATACTTTTATGTTTCTACACTGTTGATGCTAGTTTTGAACAGAGTAGTAAGAAAAGGAGTTGGTTATCCTTTTGGCATTCTGTACTAAAATTATCATAAGTCATACTGCTGAAAGCAAGACAGAAAACAGATCATATACATATCAGTGGTAAAAACAGTGATACCATCCCAGTAAGAAAAACATTTTGTGTGTGGCATTAGAGTCTCTTTCTAAATTGTAGTTGGGTTTGACTGTGTTTAATCTTCTGCAAAGTCGTACTTTAACCCAGTCAAGAAAGTACTTGGCTGTTTGTGGCTTTACTTGATGGTGTGCATGCCCCCCGCACTCCCCGTCCCCGAGTACTCACTGTTGGGAGTCTCTCCTCTACATCCTTGCTTCATTACCTTTACTCCCCTTGATTCGTCTCCTTAAGAACTTTGCCCGATCCTTGCACATGGCTGTCTTTCAAGACCCAGCTAATGCTGCCTCTATGAAAGGCATTTCTGGTCTATTCCCAGGTCTGTATGAGTCTCTCTCTCCTTTTTGCCTTCATAGGTGTTATAAAACTTTGCATAATTAGTATGTCCTGCCTTCAGTTGTCTTGCCTTCTGATTATGTAGATTTGTTGAGGGCTCAATATCATTTTACTCCATCCAATAAGGCCTTAACGTAGTAGTCATAAATCGTATTAGTTGACCTAAGTGTCCTATAGAATATAAAATAGAGGTATAAAAGATATATCACCTGTATCATAAATTTTATAGCTAATTGTAGTCAGCATTGATAAAATAAAACAAGTTACCATCTATTTAGCATTCAGGGACACTGAGGGGCACACGTGGGGCCTGGGAAAAGGGTCTCTAGGTGACCCACTTCTCCAGACAAGGCGGCACCAGAAGGGGCAGCAGTTAGCACAGCATTGACTGTTGAGTCTGCGGAAAGGTAGACTTCTTCCTCTCATTGTCCATCACTGTTTCTTTGTTACCTATTCTCTTAACCAGTGGTAGCCTTAAAAAAGGGGGTGGGGGGCAAGCGACCTGTACATGGCGACCTGTACCTGCCTGATTGTAGAAAGCAAAGGAGCAGTTAAAACTATGGAAAACCAGGAAAATGGAGAGACTAGGGTAAAATCTATTAACATAATAGATATAATGTGTTGAAACTTACCACCTGAGTTAAAATCCATGAGTTCATGAGTGATTCTTCAAAAAAATACAATAGAAAATAAATTCGTTGGTCTTATCCTTCCTATTTATATAAATTATGCAACTAAGTATAGTTTGATATGAGGCAGTTGATCAATATAAGAAGCATTTTATCTAATAAATGAAGAAAGAGTAATAGAATATTACAATTTTTAATGAATTAATGGATCCTAGGCAGTGTTCCATCAGTGCTAACTAACATAAAAACAAGACATGCTGAGCCGTATGATGGAAATAGTAAAACCTTCCAAATTATAGAAAGTAGAGGGGACAAGGAATGTATTAAACCACAGGAATTGGTGTGGGGAGGTTCAATCAGCAAAACTCAGACTGGGAACTTCTACAGGCCATTGACCTGGTTTCTTTAACAAATATAAGAGTAAAAATACATACTTGAGACATCAGGCAGTGGTAACAGGTTTATTTGGATCCTAATTTGAACAAACTATTTCAAAGAGTACTGAAAATAATTGAAACAATCAAAGATATTTAACATTAAGGAATTACTAGTTTGGAGAGTGTAATGATGTTACTGTTGTTATATTTTAAATAGTCTTTTAGTTTTTAAAGTGCTGGTGGTTCTCAACCTGGGGACAGTTTTATCCCTTAAAAGGTATTTAGCAGTGCTCGCTTCAGCAGCACATATACTAAAATTGGAACGATACAGAGAAGGTTAGCATGGCCCCTGCGCAAGGATGACATGCAAATTCGTGAAACGTTCCATATTTTTTCACCAGCCCAGGTTGGATGCATGAGAAAAGTGCTCAGGGCTGGTGCACTGGGAAGACCCAGAGGGATGGGATAGAGAGGGAGGCGGGAGGGGGCATTGGGATTGGGAATACATGTAAATCCATGGCTGATTCATGTCAGTGTATGGCAGAAACCACCACAATATTGTAAAGTAATTAGCCTCCAGCTAATAAAAAAAAAATGGAAAAAAAAATTTAAAAGACTAAATCAAATTTTAAAAAAAAAAAAGGTATTTAGCAGAGTCTGGAGATCGTTTTGTGTAGACCAGCGCACATGTGCTGAGTTGCTTCAGTCGTATCTGACTCTTGGCAATCCTCCTCGCCAGGCTCCTCTGTCCATGGGATTCTCCAGGCAGGAATGCTGGAGTGGATTGCCATTCCCTTCTCCAGGGGATCTTCCCAACCCAGGGATCGAACCCGGATCTCCTGCAGCTCCTGCATTGCAGGCAGATTCTTCAGTGCTGAGCCACTGCAGATAGTGTAGAGGCCTGGGTTACTGCTGAACATCCTACCGTGCATAGGACAACGCCCTGCAACAAACCTTCACCCACGCCTCAAGTGTCCAAAATGCTGAGGTTGGCGGACTGCCTTAGACATAAAAGCAGAACTATCTTACCAGTGAAATACCATGTTTTAGATTTCTTTCAAAATAATGTGGGTGTAGGAGTGGACAGTGAAAAATGAAATAAAATTAGCCATGGCCTGTTGAGCCTGGGTAATAGGCATATGGAAGTAATTTCTTTATACTATTTTTCTACTTCAGTGTATATTTAAAATTTTTCCATAATAAAGCTAGTTTTAAAAAATAAATATGTCTGAATATAAAATTCAAAGAAGGATATGCAGATATGTCTTTCTTTCCCTCTGTAGGCCCTGTTAAACCTAGCAGAGCGACTGGGAGAGGCCAAGCCTCGAGGACTGACTAAAGCAGACATCGAACAGCTTCCTTCTTACCGGTTCAATCCTAACAACCACCAGTCAGAACAGACTTTGTAAGTACATTTTTCTGACATCTTTCTGTATTAAATTTCTTTTTCCACCTTCATGAAATAAAAGCTTGAAAGTCAAAGATAACTTGATGAAGGTAAGTAGTGACTGTTTTCATAGTCTAGGCTTGTGCTGTCCAATAAGATAGCTGTTGAAGTTAAAATTTTTAGTTGCACTAGCCAGTGATGCTGTATCAGAGATGTAGGTGTATGGCATTTCTATCACCTGAGAAGGTTCTAGACAGTGCTGTTCTGGACTTTTATGTTGCCTAGAAATCTTCACGGTTTTTAACTCTAGAATGTTTTATATTAGATCGAAAAGTCTCATACCTGTAAAATTTGTGGGGTTTCCCTAAAGATGCTGCTTATTATAGCATCTTTCTTAATAGCAACTCTACTGAGATATAGTTCACATTTAAAGTGTACAATCCAGTCGTTTTTAGTATATTAATAAGAGTTTTGCAACCATCATCACAGTCAAATTGATATCATTTTCATCACCCCCAGTAGAAATACTTTATCAATTAATAGCCATTCCCCATTTCTCCCCAACCCTCTAAAGCCCTGACTCAGCCCCCCACTAATTTACTTTTATCTCCATAGATTGGCCTGTTCTGGACATTTCATATAAATGGAACCAATATAACATGGGGTCTTTTGGGTCTGGCTTCTTTGATTTAGCATAATGTTTTCAAGGACCACCATATTGTAGCTTGTATCATTTCATTCCTAATGGGCTACACCATTTTACATTCCCACCAGCAGCGTACAGAAGTTTCCTTTTCTCCATATCCTCACCAACGCTTGTTATTGTCTGTCTTTTGATTCTAGCAGCCCTAGTGGGAGTGAAGTGTTATCTCTTGAGGATTTGGTTTTCATTTTCCAGCTGGGCTAGTGATGTTGAGCTCTTACTATACTTACTGGCCATTTATGTATCTTCTTTGGAGAAATGTGTATTCACATTCTTTGTTTTTTAATTAGGTTGCCTTTATTGTGTTGTAGGAGTTATTTATATTTTATATGTATAGGTCCTTGTAAGATACATGATTTTCAAAAATATCTTTAATTCTGTGAGTTGTCTTTTCACTTTAGATTTATAAAGCATCTTTAGTACCCCTCTTTATTTTAAAGGATAAAGTCAATTTATTTATATGCCTTTTTTGGTGATTGTTTCTTACACTTTTGATATCATGTTTAAGAAACCATTGCCTATTCAAATGCAGAGTTCCACAGAATAGCAAGGAGAGATAAGAAAGCCTTCCTCAGTGACCAATATAAAGATAGAGGAAAACAACAGAATGGGAAAGACTAGAGATCTCTTCAAGGAAAGTAGAGATACCAAGGGAATATTTCATGCAAAGATGGACTCAATAAAGGACAGAAGTGGTATGAACCTACCAGAAGCAGAAGATGTTAAGAAGAGGCAGCGAGAATACACAGAAGAACTGTACAAAAACAATCTTCATGACCCAGATAACCACAATGGTGAGATCACTCCACGATTCACACTCACGATGGTGTGAATGTGAAGTCAAGAGGGTCTTAGGAAGCATCTCTACGAACAAAGCTAGTGGAGGTGATGGCATTCCAGTTGAGCTATTTCAAACCCTAAAAGATGATACTGTGAAAGTGCTGCACTCAGTTTGCCAACAAATTTGGAAAACTCAGCAGTACCCATAGGACTGGAAAAGGTCAGTTTTCATTCCAATCCCAAAGAAAGGCAATGCCAAAGAATGCTCAAACTACCTCACAATTGCACTCATCTCACACACTAGTAAAGTAATGCTCAAAATTCTCCAAACCAGGCTTCAACAGTACATGAACCGTGAACTTCCAGATGGTCAAGCTGGATTTAGAAAAGGCAGGGGAACCAGAGATCAAATTGCCAATATCCGTTGGATCACTGAAAAAGCAAGAGAGTTCCAGAAAACCATTTACTTCTGCTTTATTGACTACACGAAAGCCTTTGACTGTGTGGATCACAACAAACTGGAAAATTCTTCAAGAGATGGGAATACCAGACCACCTGACCTGCCTCCTGAGAAATCTGTATGCAGGTCAGGAATGAACAGTTAGAACTGGACATGGAACAACAGACCGATTCCAAATCGGGAAAGGAGTATGTCAAGGCTGTATATTGTCACCCTGCTTATTTAACTTATACGCAGAGTACATCATGAGAAACGCTGGGCTGGATGAAGCACAAGCTGGAATCAAGATTGCTGGGAGAAATATCAATAACCTCAGATATGCAGATGACACCACCCTTATGGCAGAAAGTGAAGAAGAATTAAAGAGCCTTTTGATTTAAAAAAAAAAAAAAAGAGCCTCTTTTGAAAGAGGAGAGTGAAAAAGTTGGTTTAAAGCTCAAACTAAGATGGCATCAGGTCCCATCACTTCATGGCAAATAGATGGGGAAACAGTGGCTGACTTTATTTTTTTGGGCTCCAAAACCACTACAGATGGTGACTTCAGCCATGAAATTAAAAGACGCTTGCTCCTTCGAAGAAAAGTTATGACCAACCTAGACAGCATATTAAAAAGCAGAGACATTACTTTGCCAACAAAGGTCCGTCTAGTCAAGGCTATGGTTTTTCCAGTGGTCATGTGTGGATGTCAGTGTTGGACCATAAAGAAAGCTGAACGCCAAAGAATTGATGCTTTTGAACTGTGGTGTTGGAGAAGACTCTTGAGAGTCCCTTGTACTGCAAGGAGATCCAACCAGTCCATCTTAAAGGAAATCAGTCCTGAATATTCATTGGAAGGACTGATGCTGAAGCTGAAACTCCAATAGTTTGGCCACCTGATCTGAACTGACTCATTTGAAAAGACCCTGATGCTGGGAAAGATTGAAGGCAGGAGGAGAAGGGGATGAGATAGTTGGATGGCATCACCGACTCAATGGACATGAGCTTGAGTAAACTCCAGGAGTTGGTGATGGACAGGGAGACCTGATGTGCTGCAGTCCATAGCGTCACAGAGAGTCAGACATGACTGAGCGACTAAACTGAACTGAACTGCCTATTCCAAGGTCGTGAAGATCTACACTTGTATTTTCTCTAAGAGTTTAATAGTTTTTAGCTCTTATATTTAGGTTTTTCATTTTTTAGTTGATTTCATATATTGTGTGAGGTAGGAGTCCAACTACATTCTTTTGTATATGAATATTCAGCTGTTTCAACACTGTTGAATATAATAGTATCTTCAGTATTAAGGCTAGCTTGGATGTTAAACCAGGTATTTTCTTGATGATCTCTCACTAAGCAAAACAAAGCACTCTTATTAAATGTTTTAACATCATGCTTTTTTTAAGGTATTTGATAGATTATTTTAGTTTTAAAGTTTAGATGGTATTTGATATGTGAGATGATTATTTTAGTCTTAAAATTTAAATGGTATTTTGATAAGTGAGATAGTAAGTGGCTTTATGGTTTCGATAGTTGTAACAAAATAGAAACTACTTGATTTTATGGTTAAACAATCTTTCTGGTTTATTTCAGGTGTGTAGTATGCATGTGTGATTTTGAGTCAAGGCAGCTACTTAGAGTTTTACCCTGTAACCATGAGTTCCATGCCAAGTGTGTCGACAAATGGCTTAAGGTAAAATGATGGCATCTGAAAAGAATGACATTGAATTTTCTCTTACTGACCATAGTTTCATGTAGAATTAAGTCCATGGTTTGGTGGAGGGTGCTTAAATTGAAACACAGCTTTCGTAATTCTGACCATTTTCTCCTTTGTGTATATGGGAGGGAAAATTCCAAAGACACAAATTCTGATAGTATGCCAGGGTGAAATTATTTCAGGGACTTCTTCTTTTCTTCTTTTTTTTTTTTTAATAGTAGGATAAAGGGACTTCACTGGCAGTCTGGGGTTGAGACTGCCTTCCAATGCAGGGGGCGCAGGTTCAGTCCCTGGTTGGAGAGCTAAAGTCACACATGCCATCAGGTGTGGCCAAAAGAATTTTTTTTTAATAGTAGGATAAAAATGTGATACAGTAAAATAATTTAAGTCAACTTTAGGGTTGGCTTGTTTTAGATTATTCTGACTAGGAGATGATAATACTGGCTTAGATAACTTGACAATTGGTGAGGAAGACAGATGAGTTAAAAAAGAATCAGTCTTCCATGTGAGCACAGATTAAGAGTACCCAGTTTTAATCCTAAAGGTAAAGAGTCTAAGCTTTTTAGAAAACGAACTTACTATATATGCATAGCCCTGACATGTGAGAACAGGATGACCAGAAACACATGGGTTCCATGTGGCTGATGGCTAGAGTGGGGGAGAGTAGCAAGAGAGGGGATTCAGAGGTAAAACCAGGAATCAGCTTTTTGCGAAGTCACTGTGAAGCGTGCGAGAGTTTGGACCGGATCCCGAAAGCATGTTTTAGAAAGAGCACGGCCACTCTTTGAAGAAGGTAATAGAGGAGGTTGATGAAATAAGGATGTACTGGGCCAGATGGAGAACAAATAGTAGAAGCTGGATGAAAAGAAGAGTACTTGACTTGAGAGCTATCATGATGTAGAAATGAGAGCATTTGATAAAAAATGCTTTGTAGAACATAAGAGAGCAGGTGTTGCTTCTGTTTCTGATTTTAGCAGCACGACGAATGGTAGTGGCATTTGTTGAGATGGGGTTTTAATTTTAAGCCACATTTGTCTGAAGTGGTGATGGGTAGTCTTGTCTGTGTTAAAACAAACCAAATAAGGAATTATTCATAGGCTATTATTGTTTTAGAGATTTGTGGAGTATTTTTAAGAGATTAAATGACTACTTTCTTAATGGAACAAAGAATGTAAAAACTATGTGGAAAGTAAAATAGTTCTGTTGCTTTCAATATGTTTCACTATGTAAGTCAAAATTCAGACAAGTGCTCTCTTCTATGTTTTAGGCAAATCGTACTTGCCCAATCTGCCGAGCTGATGCTTCAGAAGTGCATCGGGATTCAGAATGACCAGCCTAATAGCACAAATTCATTTTGGGTGTTCCTCGTCACATGTATATACGGACTGTCCATTGAACTCAGTCTGTGTGGCTCCCGGCCTCCCTTTACCAAAAGGGTCAATGGACCTTTCTTTGCACTGTGTGACTTAATCAACTATAAAAGCTTACAATTAGTCTTCACAATTATGGGATTGTTATACTAACCGTGTGATTGGAACTCCAAAGACTTTTTCTTTAGCTTAATTTTGTGTGTGCACTAACATTCCCTGGTTTTTGTGTGATCATTCCGAGTGTTGCTGCAAGATTACAGTGGACGTGATCTTTTAGCATGTGCTTTCATAAAAAGTGGTAGCTCCAGATGATATAGCAATCTACCTTATATAGAGCCTTCAGAAACTGTGAGTGGAAATGAGTGCAGCGTATGACTGTTGATGGTAAATGTATCTGTGTGTGTGAGAGAGAGAATGTGTGAAACTACTTGTGTGAGGGCATGGTAGCTAACGTGTGTATGAGATCCTATATACCAGCATGTACCAAGAATGTGTGTGTAGTTTTAATTATGCTGCAATGTATACTCTGGTGTGTTATTTAAACAGCACTAGTACTGTACACTGGTTTTCCCCCTCGTGTTTGCTGTTGCACACTGATCGCTAAGGTGCATCAACTATAAGCATCGAATACTCCATCCCTCCCCTCCCAGTGAGTGGAATGAGAAAAGCCTTCTTCCTTTGCTTCAGGCAGCTGTCACCTTCTCTTCGTTGGTAGTCCCAACTGGGTCACTTAAGGAAAAAGTGTAATAGATTCTCACTCCATGAACCTGAAATTTTGATTTTGTCGTGAAAAATTTTTAAATCTCCAGCTTGCTGTTTCCAAAAGAAGGTGCAATATCATACTACATCAGTTAGCAATATTAGCATTTCAGTCAGTGATTTGAATGTTGATACTCTCTTGGTTTCCCTTCACATTTTCAGTGAGCTTCTTAGCCGGAAGTGCTTGTGATTTTTTTTTTCTTTTAATGTTTCGGTTTGTAGTCTATTCTGAAGATGTTTGAGTAATATATTTCTAAGAACACCACTGTCCCATGAAGTGTCACCACCTCTGCTTCCACCAGAAAAAAATCTGTTAACTCAGCTTGACTTCTGATATGTTATTTGTTCTAGCTCCCACAGGCAACTAAATTGTTTGAAGAAAACTATATTTCTGTTCTGCCAAGCTCCAGTTCTGAAAGTTGTCTAGTTCTTCCCCCCTCAGGAGACGTGCTTCTCACGGAAATCCTCATTTCCAGGATGGATCAAGTGCTGTGACGGCTCGAGTTCCCTAGACCTGGTGTGCTTTGATGTTTTATCACTTTTCTTTTTTGTTGAATGAGAAAAAAATCAATATAACAGGTGTCCAGAATACTTGCAGGATAAATGAAGATTTGATTTCTGTGTACAAAACAGTGCTGTAAAACAGGAGTTGACCTGCGCTTAGTTGCTCTGAAAAGAATACATAGCTGCGCGGGTTTCTTTCTTTTTTTGATAGGTTCCTTGAGCGTAATTGAGATTGTTTAAAATCATTTTTCCCAGCAATGTGTGGATTCCCCTCTCATTCTTCGGTGTCTTCGCCGCTGCCTGCCTCTTCCTCCACTGGCATCCTCGCTCCGTTTGCAGTAGCACGAGCTGCTGCGGTCAGGACCGCGACGACTTGCTGCCGCCCTCAGCTTTCAGTCGGCTCTGTGTCCCTTTTCTGCTCAGACAGTGTTAACTACTTGTTACTGCCATGCTCCTTGCCTTCCCTTGAAGACTATAAGCTCATCACAGCTTAGAGTTCAGTAAAGTCAATTCACACAGAAGCACAATTTTGCCCTTTCCAGACACTGTTGCCTCTATGTCGTCCTACAAGTAGGATTTTGCATAGTTTGTTTGCCCCTGTATTTGTCAGTGCATAAGAAATACATCTAAACAGTGGTAAAATGCACATGTTACTTTTAAATCATTAGAGTATTCCCTACCTGTTCATAATGAATAAAGTGTGTTAAAGACCAAAATTATTGGCGTAATAATCAACTACATTACAAATCACGTATAGTTTAATCTTTATTTTTTTTAATTAAAAAATCATGTTTAAAATGGCAAAAGCCCATCTTATACATAGACTCTTTTATATAGCTGCAAAAAATTTATATCTGTACAGATCTAACATAACATTACTACACTCAGTATTCATTTTATTGAAGCATGCAAGTAAAGCACTTTTTCTAATTTATATAGATACTTAATTAACAAGGCACACTGTACTAATGACTAGGAAAAGTAGCTCTTTCTTCCCTCCCTGGGATGATGAATTCTTGTCATATACCCCTTTTCCATTAAATTTCTGAGAGGCCGTTGGCAATTTAGGAGGCAGCAGGGTCTATTTTGGTAAAATCCAGAATTGTTGCACTCTTGTGGCTGATCTCTCTTTGGGAATGTCTTTTCTTCGCATGGGGCTCTTAGAGATGTGTGCAGATTTGCTCATTAAGTAGTTAGTGTGTGTTAGGAGCGTACATGCATGTGTTCCGAACCAGCTCAACCTAGCCACAGTTAGCAACCGTGTGGCTAGCAGCAGAGAAAGAACGGTTGATTTGTACCCAGCTGTGGACTCCTTAGGTGATGCACCAGATAGCAGGCAGATTGTTTCTTGCCTTCTTCCCCTTTCCTCCTAAAACAATATTGGCTTTACCACCTTAACTCTGCTGTGTTTTTTGTTTTCCTTTGCATGAAATACCACCTTTGTTTGTTTTTAGCACCCCCTCTTCCCCAAAAAGAAAAAAACGAAAAACAAGGCCTCCAGGTATCAAGATCTCATTAGGGTTTTCTGTCCTGAATTTTTTCAAGCAAAATCTAGAAAATGTGAAAGCCTATTTAGATTTTATACACTCTCTGAAATGTGATTTGTTAAGATTCTTATATTTGGGCCTCTTATAATATTTTAAATGAGATCTACCAACTCATGAGAATATTTTTCACAGATATCTTTAGGCCTTTATTAGAAAGCTGTTTTCCCCCTGTTGGTACATTTGGTTACCTCATTTTGCTGTTTGTTTCAGACTATGGAAAGCTCACAGGGGTGTATTTTGGAATCATTTGCTGAGTCATTTCCTCAAATCATACTCCATTGTATCAGTTAACATATAGTTTTAAATGTACGTATTATAAATATCTGTAACCAAATCATTTGAAGGCTTGATAAATTTTTAACAAAGTTTGTACATTTTTTATGAAAGTTACTAGTAATGCTTTACTAAGTAGTGCAATGAATTTTTATTTTTAATCCCTGTGCCCAATTTTGGAGTTGAGAGGGTTGTTGGTAATAAATGTATGATGTACACTTAAAACATTGGGTTGTGTTTGGTGTTAATGTGTTAGGGAAGGGTAGGCGTCATGTCTGTCTGGAGGGAGGGATGTAGGGGACTTCTAGCAGGAAGATAGAGCTCTTGAGCTCCGAGCAGCCAGACTTAACTTTGAGGCAGTAATTCAGATTTTGTTTCTGTGTTTGTGTAAACAACTTAGAAACACAAAAGCAACTTGCTTTATAACTCATGTGGTATATATTTATGTCTTTAAAAAGGCCAAGAAGATAGCTTGAGTGTAGACACATGTGTGCATGGTATAAGCTCATTGAACAGTAAAGTTACATTGAGTAGGTATCTAGAGTTCTTTCTATTTGTGTCAACCATAAGATACAAAAGATAGTTGGGCAGATTTGTTCACATTAGCTATAGTACGTTATGTCTGACTTGTCCACGTAATACGGAAAGAGGAGCTCATCATTTCCCATACATGTTTGTGTAATTGCTTTCCTTTGGCTAAAAAAGGAAGAGAGTAAAGCCATCTGCTTATATATTATTACATGCTGAAAGTGGAAATAGAATGCCAAAAAAAAACCAAGTAAGGCTAAGCGATAGAACCCAGTTCTCCCCCAGCAGGAAGCAGCCCTTTGCCTTCAGTGCTGCCTTGACAGAACCATTCAGAAAAGTGACCAGTCAGGGTCCTTGATTGTGTCCCTGTTTCCCACCATACTTGAAAGCATGTTTGCATTTGAACTGTGAATGTCTCAAAACTTGTTCTGTCTTACATTACAGAGTCATTTCCTGCTCGTTCAGTACCTGTGCATTCTCTCCCACTTCCTTACCTACTACTGTAGGCGAGTCCCATGCGGCTGGTTCTGACCAAGGGACCACAAGGGGAGGCCATGCAGCTCTCTCTCCTGCTGTGGTGATGGCAGCCCTGGATCCTGCGTCACTGCCTGGAAGAGAGCTGTCCTAGAAAGCCACTGGATTCCACAGGCTTTCTGTTAACAGTAAACTGAGGCCCTTAGACGACTCTGTCAGGATTTTGTCTTTGCCAATTTATTCCCCCCTTTCAAAAGACTTAAGTCTGTTTAGTCTTATTCTAACCACACTTTGATGATACTAATTGTCAAGTGTACCAGTTAAACACCACTGGCTACAGTTAACTTTTAATAGATCACAAGGTCAGATTTGCACCACATGATAAAATTCTGAAGGATGTTTGCAGTCAGGTCATTACCAAGTATCTCAGGTCTGTGTGCCTCAGGCTAATGATAATGGAACCTTACCTTTGATATCCCTAGACTTCTCAAGTTTTTCATTGCATGCCTTAATACACTACGGTATGATTAGAAATATTTTACTGTTTGTATAGTTGAATGTAATTTATTTCTATATCAATACATAAATATGTAAAAAGCAGAGTTACTTTCTGTGAACATCATATATAGCTTCCCTGGCTAACATTTAAGAACAGAATTTCCTGTTTGTTAGTAAATTCCCAAATTAAACATTTGTTTATACCACCTTCCAGATTCATACCTATTTAAAAGATTAACTTGCCAATCAGAGAATTGGGCATTCTAAAGAGAGCAACAGACTTTGAACCCATACAGAGTGTGTGGGGTAGACTCCTATTAAGATTGCTCTGAAGTGCACGTGCTCTTAGCCTTTTTCATGTGGTTCTTTCTGCCTCC